TCATAAAACCACTTAACCTGTAAGATCTACAAAGACTGTGTTCAGTCTTTAATCATATTTGGATTTTTATCTAGCAAAATGTTGAAATACTAACTACATAGTGGGACAAATGCTGAGCTAACTTTCACCTTAATCCCTTCATTCATGTTCTACAGATTCTTGATCAAATCTCGTGATTGGTGTGAGCTCTAGTTTATTTTTTGAAATGAAAGGTTTGGACCTTTCCAAGCTTGCTTTTCGCTCTGAATCTTTTTCTTTAATCTCTGACACCAGGATATTTTTCTTCAAGTAAGCAACAGATGGCAGTGTCAAAGTCTTGGATTTTTCAAAAACATTTTTTGATTTGTTGTTTTCAGCTGTTAAAGAATTTCTGCTCAGTTTTTTTTCTTAATGCCTAGCTTAAAAAAAAAGAGTAATATGTTAGGCAAAAAGGATTAAAAATGTACGATAATTAATGATGATTTTAATATCTTATCTAAAATAGAATTTGAGCTGTATGTATTATGTAGATTACTATCTTTTATCCACACCCCCCTCCCCCGTCAGTCAAATCGAGTTACTTTGTGGAGTTGATGCTTCAAGGAGCATAGAGTTAAAGTTCTATTTTGAGGATGAAACTTGAAACATTTCAAGTATGGTGACAGTAATCTCTGTGCATGTCAGTCCCATTGTACCTGTTAAATTTATAAGCACTGGCTCTCAGTGTCAATGTAGTTTGGTAAACAATAGGGTCATGTCTTTATGCTATCAGACATCCATTTGTGACATTTGATGCTCAAAATTATTTCTATTTTTAAAAAATCTAAGTATTTCTTACTGGGTATACGGACAAACTTTGGATGGGGAGTTTGGTTTCTCAAATGGAATTTTCTTTTAAACCCAAGCATGGAATATTCCCTTTGGTCTGTGATATAAATAAATCAGCCTGCTCTTGGTCTGTGAGTACCCAAAGAGGACCTGGAAGTTGTCGGGACCAGTTTATAGCCAGGGAGAAACATGTGAGAGCCACAAGCATTATGCTCTGTGGTGTTTGGTGATCATAAATATAAAATAGTCTTTAAAATTTGCTTTCAAGAGATTGCTTAGTGTTGAGGGGAATGCTGGGCATTGGTGGTTGGAGCCTGCTCTCCCGGTTGCCAACAGTGAGACTGGACTGACTCTTGTTTCTCTGTAGAAGATTGCATTAAAAAGAAATAGAAGACACAAGATGTTTGGATTGGATTATCACTTGATGATTTTTACAAACTGAAAACCCCACATCATTAGTCCGTTCACACACTGGAAGCAGAACATAAAGAATATTCTAGAAGTTTGGCTGTGTTCTCTTCTATTACTTTTCACCCCCTAATCACCTCCTTAACATTACTCTCCTGACTTCAAACAAGAGATTTGTCTTGCCTGTGTGTTTTTATCATTGAATCCCATGGTTTGTACTTTTTTGTGTGTTGGGTATATTTCACTTGGCATATGTTTGTGAGATCATCCATGTTGTTATGTGTAGTTGTAGATCATTCATTCTTGTCATATAGTAATCCATAGACCAGAATTCAAAGAGCAGAAATTACTGATATATTCTGCTGCTGGTGAACATCTGAGCTTCTTCATTGGAGCTATTATAAATAATCTGTGAATGTTTTCTAAATTTCTTAAAATATTGTTTTCATAGCTGAGGGATATGCATGTCCATGTGGACTTGTGATCAGGAGGCAGGGAGGTTCAGGTATGGAGGAAGGTGGGAGACACAAATATTTCAGTTTTTTTCCCGTGTCCACAGAGTTGGGGAGGGAGCCCCTCCTCACTGTCAAACTGCATCAAAACCCTAGAATAGGGGCTAGTACTTAGAGGACACTTTAGAGACCCTGATATGGGGAAGAGTACTCTGAGGGTGTTACTTTAGTGGTTTTGATAGTTCTGAGAATTTGCTGGCTTCATTGCTCTAGGGTTGAGAAAATCTTTCCAAGGCATATTGGTTGACAGAGTCCACTTTATTGCACCTAAAGACCCAGAAACTTTTGCTGCAAAGCTTGGCCAAGAGAATTGTCTAACCTGTTCTACCTTTATCCACTGACGAGACAATAAACATCCATTGCTGGCCTAGATCTATTGACCATCGTGTCCTCTGTGTGCATCTGGGCATAATCCCCACTGACAAGTGTCATCAATTGAGGAGGCTCAGTTCCAGTACATGCTCTCCAAGGTTGCACAACATATGCTGTGATTTTTTTCCCCCTCTGAGTCCAATAGTCTAGTTGGGGAGTCCCCAAAAAATCCTTGCCTGGGGTGACCCTAGACTTGATTCTTGCGTGTGCCAGTAAGTGCAGGGTTAGGCTCCTTTACCTGCACCAGTCAACACACCAGTGGGTGCAAGCTGCCTACTCAGTTCTACAGGGGAATCCTGGAGGTTCTCCTGCTAGACCCACTCCCAGACTTGGACCTTGCATGTGTCAGCAGGTGCTGTGGCTCAGTCTGAGATGGCTCATCCCACCTTCAGTCATAGCATTCAGCAGCAGGTGCTACAGCCTGGCTCAGCCCAACCAACTCCTGGTCCAAGCTCTCACCTACCAATGCAGCATCCTGGCCCACTCACAGCCCCAGCCCTCATGCAATGTGGTGGGTGTTGTGGTCCAACCCAGCCTACCTGAGTACCTGCCCTTCCGGGCTCTCTCTTGTGCCAGTGCATGCTATGAATGAACACTGCCTGTCCTCTAATCTCCAGTGCTGGCTCACACATATGCCAATGGGTGCTGTAGCCCAGCCTGGTCTAGCCTGCTCCCAGCCCTGGCTCTCATGCTCAACAGTAGGAGCTGTAGCTTAGAAGGAGAGTTCCCTTGGTTCCCTTACCAGACCTGCTCCCAGCATTGAGATCCTAACTGTGCTGGCAGGTACTGTTGCCCAGATTGAGATGGCCAGCCCCCAGTCCACGCACTCACCAGCGGGTGCTGTGACCTAACCCAAATGATCCACATCTTTTCTGGCTGTTACTGATAGGTGTTACAGCGTAACCTAGCCTGGCCTACTCCCAGACCCAACTCTCATGTGAGGCAGTTAATGTCAGGTAGATTCCTGTCAGGAAAGTTCCATGGTCCAGCCTGTCTCAGCATGTCACCAACCCCAAATCTTAACATGAGCTGCTGAGTGCTGCAGTCTCACAGAGACAAGCTCAAAACTTGCCTACAGAATCTGTCCCCAGATGCAGTTCTCTCATGTTCTAGTGGGTGCTGCAGCTCAGCCTGACATGGTCCGCCTCCTGCTCCAACTCATGGGCAGGTACTATGGCCTAACCCATCCATGCACGCTGCCCAGCCCTAGCTTTTGTGTGTGCCAGTAGATGGCAGCCATGCTATTTAGCCCAGCCCAGATCTCCCATGTGGGCATTCCTTGGCCTGACCCAGACTTGCCCTCTGGTTCCTCTCTCTACTCTGTCTCGGCTCCCTCACCTATCTGCAAGTGCAGTGGCCTGGTCCATGGAAGCCCCTAGAAGTCATTCCTTCCCTACCAAGTAAGCCCTTAGCTGCTCCTGCTCCAATATGTCCCCAGAGCTCCCTTCCCAAGGCAGACTGCAGCAAGCCTGCCATTGTGTTTCCCCCCCCCCCACCTTCCCTCCCCGCATGCCTCCAGCCTGGGGACCAGGGTGGCATGTCCTGGCCCAGTGTTCCCATGCATTTAAATAAATAAATAAAACAAGCAAGCAAGCAACTGTGCTGGCATACTAGTATAGTTAACACATATTTGGCATTAACCAGGTTCAGAAGGCCTGCCAGCTATTTGGCTGCTTTTCTCCCAGCAGTTTAACCCTTGCCTAGGTACAAGACAACCTAGGCAGTTGTCTACAGCTAGGGTATTTTTGTGAACATTTTAGATGGCTTTTGATGTAGCTGTTTTCTGGATTTTATAGTGTCTTTAGTAGACAGTGCCAGAGGTGTTTCAAAATTCTACTTGCTCCGTATCTTTGCCAGCAATTACTGCTGTGTGTCATTAGCCATTCTGGTGTATGTATTTTAGAAAATTAGGGAGCACAGTCTGGACGTTCAGTTACGCCTCTGCCTCCAAGTCTCGGCTCTACTGCTGTGGACTTGGACGACCCATGCGAACTTTAATTTCCTTGCATGTGAAATGAGACTGTTAGTTTGAATAACTCATAATGTTCTTTTATTTCCATATGCTAAGCTCTGTCATTAAGACTCCTACTGGGAAATAATTTCACTATAACTTAAATCCTATGACATAAGTAGTTTCCCACTTTGCATAGATCAAGTGCAAGAAATTGTCACTTTTGCCTATCAGCCATCAGGTGCATTAATAGTACAAAGTGGGTACTATTATTGTTCCAGTGTCCAAATGAAGAAACTAAGACACAGAGAGATAAACAGCAAGCAAAGTGTAGAACTAGTTAACTAAAACTAAAGTCTGATTCCACAATCCCAGTTCGTAACCATGTGGGCTTCAATTTCCTAATAAAAAATTGAGAATAACAATTATCCCTTCTTGCTTGGGTTGCAGTAAAAGATGAGAAGAGAGAAGGAAGTCCCTAGTAATTAGGACCGCTTGTCCCACAAGAGTCCCCGGGGGCAACTTCTAGCTCCAGCGTCACATCCATGCAGACTGGGACTAGCAGACAGCTCAGACAACTGGCTTCCTGTCACCCACATGGGAGAGCCTGAATTCATTCCTAGTTTCTGACTTTGCCCATTGGAGACATGCAGAAAGTGAGCCAGCTGATAGGATCTCCCTTTCTCTCTCTGTCCCTCTCTATATGTATGTATGTTTCTTTGCCCTCTCAAATAAATATATAAATAGTATTGTAAGTGACATGAGATCGTTTATGTGAAGTACCTTATCTCGAGTTAAATGTTGTAGTAAACACTCAGTACCATGCTGCTTATTTTTGTTATTATCATGATAAAAGAATTATTTGGATCTTACGACACATATGGTCATGTGATTGTGGGGAAAAGGTCAGTGTGAAATAATTCAAAGTTTTATTTGTTTGCTTGCTTTAGGTCCTATCTGCAGTCTGTGTGTCTCATCGTTTGGAGCAAGACCTGTCACAATCTTTAGTGGTTTCATGGTGGCTGGAGGCCTAATGTTAAGCAGTTTTGCCCCCAACATCTACTTTCTGTTTTTTTCCTATGGCATTCTTGTAGGTAAGCAACTTACGGTCCCTGGGATTTTTCTGTCTCCGGGAGTCACGCATCATTTCATCAATGTATGCATGATGTTTGTGAAAATGTGAAGAGTGAAATGGCTCATTGATTATTTACGTTCCATGACCACCTTTCCAAACACTGATGCTTTAGTGAAATATTTGCCCAGGGTCTCAGGGCGTTTGAAAGGATCAACCTGTTTAACAATCCACACTTGCAAGGCACACCATCTCAGCCGTTGTGCTGATACAGCACAAGAAAGGGAAGGAGAGAGAAGGGTAATGCGACTTAGATGTTGCTGACATCTGTCCCCTCGCACTGACTTATGCAGTGGCCCTCATGGGGCAGTCCAATGGTAGCATTCATTTTGTAGCAGCTTTATGCAGAATCACACTCTGGACTTGATTGTCCAGGGTGAACAAAAGGGTCTCCTCAGCCAGTCAGTATGGCCTTGGCAAGAGCAGGCATTACCAGGTAAGGTTAACTGTGTCATGTGCCAACTGTGTTATTGCAATCTCATTTTTTAAACTTATGTTTTTTAAGGTTTATTTATTTTTATTGTAAAGTCAGATCTACAGAATGAAGGAGAGAGTTGTTCTGTCCGCTGATTCACTCCCCAGGTATCTGCTAAGGCCAGAGCTGAGCTGATCCGAAGCCAGGAGTGACTTCCAACCTTGTATTTAGAATGTGGCCTCTGATATGATTGGAAGGTCAACAGGATTAGGCACGCCTTTCATCCAATCAGCATGTCATTATTGGGTGAAAGGACTACCTGAAAACTTCTTACTCTCCCTTTGCTTAGAGCTTTATAAACCTGGAACTTTGGCTGAATAAACGGACATTCCTCACCAGTTTGTCCCCTATGCTTCTTATGGCCTAAGAGCACCGCAGCCTCACCCTCAGTGACCCGGGGGTCTGCTGGCAGGTCTGTCCCCCCTGAGAAGGACCCTCCTCCAATTTCCCTATGTGGGTGCAGGATCCCAAGGCCTTGGGCCATCCTCCACTACTTTCCCAGGCCACAAGCAGGGAGCTGGATGGGAAATGGAGCAGCTGGGACATATACTGATTCCCATTTGGAATCCCAGTGGATACAAGGTGAGGACTTAAGCCACTAGACTGCTGTGCCAGACCAACTTGGTTATATTCTGTATTCAGGCTTTACAGTAGCTTTGATTGACATGTGTGAAGATTCATGAAGGTTTACTGGGACAGTAAATCTGTTTTCTTATTAGGCACTTTGAGTAGTGCATTGGTTATTTGGGGGAAAAAAAAGGCCTGCCAAGTACTGCAAGAACTTTAAAATGTTAACATATTTAAGTACTTTTTAAAAAATTTAAAGAAAGAACATTTCAAATGTCTTCTCCATTTAAAAAAAAAGTGAGAGTCTTATCTGAAATCTATGACCTTGAAATCTGTTTTTAAAACTATTGCTTTTTAAAAAGTTTTAAGGTTAAAAGCTTAAAACTGCCATTTCAATTTTTTTGGTATTGGTATTTAAGGATGTGAAATATTTTTTTTTATTATGTCTCCAATGTCTTAACATTTGACAAAGCCCTGACAACCAAATCACAGGAAAATAAATCCATTCCCTCTCCAAAGGCTTTCAGAAATAGAGTCTCAGTGAAGGGTGACACCTTTTCGCCTTCGCGAAACTGATGGTTCAGAAATAGGTCTTAGGTCTTGAAAGGTCCCACATGTAGTACTGACAACTGTATAAAGTAAGTCAGCTATTATTTTCATTAGTGAAATAGTGTTTTTCCTTAAATTACACAAAGGATTTTTAGAGTTATATTTACAAGTATAAGTATTTTTATCTATCTCATTTCTTTAAGCAGATGCTTTGTGCAATCATGGATGATTGCCTGAGTCCAGATAGTTTTAGTTGCTGGTTCCCTGAAACATTTGCATTTTGTGTGTTAACCCCATACATTTTTATAAACTCTGGTCCAGGTAGATACTAAATTAATGAAGATCATCTTAATGATTCTTTTAATGGGTAAGCTAATGGTTAAGATAGTCAGTTATTAAACTGTGTCTCAAGTATTACTTTAAGGTGATCCCCAAAAGCAACCGACATTGCAGAATAAAAGCAAAAAAAAAAAAGAATTGGAGCAAAAGGGGAATTTTATGAAAAGCTTAGAGGCTTATTGATACACCTAACAAGAAGAAAAAGATTAATACACGCAGAAATGATCTAGATTATATTTTTGAGATTCAAGAAGGAAAATTAAGTTGTAAGATACATTTTTTAAAAATTTATCTTTTTTATTTTATTTATTGGAAAGGCAGATATACAGAGAGCAGAGACAGAGAGAAAGATATTCCGTCTGCTGGTTTACTCCGCAAGTGGCCTGGGAGCAATGGCTGCAGCTGAGCCAAAGCCAGGAGCTTCCTCTGGGTCTCCCACCCAGGTGCAGGGTCCCAAAGCCTTGGACCATAGTCTACTGCTTTCCCAGACCACAAGCAGGGAGCTGGGTGGGAAGTGGAGCAGCCAGGATAGGAACCAGCGCCCTTATGGGATCCCGGTAGATGCAAGATGAAGACTTTAGCCGCTAGGCTACTGTGCTATGCCCATGTTGTAATATTTTAATTATGAAAGAATTCTAAATTTACAGGTGATAGTAGCATAGTGATTATATGCTTTCTACCTAAATTTAACAGTTCTTAATCATTTTTCCAGTTGCTTTCCTTTTTTTTTTTTTGTCAAAGATATTTAGCACAAAATAAAAGACATCACTACTACATCTTTTTTTTTTTTCCCCTAAGGAGAGTCCCGTGCATTTGTGAAGCAAATAGGGATTTAGAAATTATTTGCTTTGTGAGGAGATGATTTGGAACCTGCGACACCCCACCTGAGCATCTGTGTTTGTAGACCAGGATGTGTAAGCTAAGTTCTAGCAAGATAACTTTGGGTGATGAAGCGGATTGTGAAAATTGTTTGAAAGATTTAGAGCAGGAAGAGCATTCAGTGAGAGAAAGGACATGGAAGAAAGACATAGTCAATGGCCAGGTTTGATAAGATGTGATATTTGGTTATCATCTCACTGTTTTCTCTATAATGTCTTAATTTCCATTTGTACTTTTTAATCTTACCTTAGAAACTGCATTTTTTTCTTTAAACAAGACCTTGACCTTAAGGCTGGTATGGGGTGAAGTAAGGCTGCTCAGCTGCTGTGGAACTCTTCTCGTTTGCTTTCTCTTTTTTGCTTTGAGATAATACCGACTGTCTGGATTTATACAGTGTCTTTGAATGCTTAGGTCTTGGATGTGGTCTGTTATACACTGCAACAGTGACCATCACATGTCAGTATTTTGACAGCCGCCGCGGCCTTGCACTTGGCCTGATTTCAACAGGTAAGTTGCCAAAATAAGTACAGCATTGTCACTATTCAGCTTCCCGAACGCAGTTATGTTTGCTGTTACCAAGCCAGCAAGCAGAGAGCAAATAATTATTTGACTCCTTCTCCTGGAAGGAAAATTGATTTTCCACAGTAACGGTGAGGCGAGCTTTCAAAGAACTTCAAGATATGTACATGAAAAATCAGGCATTAAATGTCCAATATAATCTAGAGAAGGAAAGCTTGTGTGCTCAGTACATTGAAGGGTTACCTGCTGGGAGGACTTGGCTAAAAGCAGCAGGCGGTGCTTCTGGAGAAGGCCTAGGAGAAGGACAGGAAATGGAGGGAAAATGCTCACTCCTAAGCACATTGTGGGGGAAGGCTTCTAGCTGGCGTAAAAATTACAGTTCTTCTGACATACTGACTTCCTGTGTATGCCCAAATGATAGGCTCCTTACTCAATTTTTCCTTTTTATAATCAAGATATGGTCACAGAGGTAGGGAAATGTACACATAAAAAATAAATTTTAAATAATACGAAAACCTTCTGTGCTCATATGGGATCCTGGCATGTGCAAGGTGAAGACTTTAACCATTAGGCTACCACCCCAGGCCCTCCCTTGGGCATTTTAAAGTGAGGATTGTTTTAAGAGGAGTTTTTAAAAGCTGTTTAGGAAACCTATCAAAATTTCTCTGACCAATATGCTGCGAGTTTATTTAAGAGCTATAGTTGCCAAGTGACCACCATTGTTAAATTGAGATAAGCTGCTTGGGAGTAAGCCATGTACCCAGAAGGTAAGCAATTTTAACTAGGTCATGTAAGGCAATGATCCCGGTAATGGGTTGCAAACTCAGGTTTAGTTCCTGAAGCTAACCAGGGGAGTCCTGGTTGAGTTTAATCCACCTGGATGTTTATCCAAGCTAGTCTGGGGAAGCACTGTCTGATGTGAAATGTGAGTTGTGGCTGAAGAAGAGACAAGATCAGGGTCTGAGGACACGCTCAAGGCAGTGATGGGAGAAGGAACTCAAAAGCCAGAAATGGGGAACCAGGGCAGCAGGAATGCAGTCTAATGATCCTACCAGGATCTCCCCCAAGCGAGGGAAGAACTTCAGCATAGCTGAGGCTATTCTTCTGTGAGCCCCGCCTAGGCCGAAATGTGGGGGTCACTGATGTTCTGGAAATTGAACTCTCTTGGATCCTGGAGTATCTACAAAAACGTTATGAGGTATCTGGGGAAAGGATCAAAACACAGAATTCATTTATATAGACACGTATCTACTTATAAACCAGGAGATACTATTTTTAGTAATTTTGTGCAAGAAACCAAGATTTCTGGTGTGCAGTTTTCCTCTTATGGCATTTCAGGAAACACTCAAAAATGTTTTGGGTCTTAGAGTGTATTTTGGATTTTGAAGATGTGAAGTTAGAAGAATAGGCCCAGAGACAGAGTGGAGATTGAATCTGCCTTCTGATAGCCTCTCACTGTCTGGTGTTGGACAAGTTAGTTAACTCTCTTATGCCTCTGTTTTCTGAACAGTAAAATGGGGCTAATAATAGAATACATCCCATGCAGTTAAAGGCGTATGCATGAGCCTCCTGAAAAAGGACTCTGAGAGTGACCCTTTTAAAGAATTAAAAAGAATCCTCAAACAAGTATCTTTGAAACACTGTGGCCAAGTAGAAAGGATGGAATGCGGGCATCCTCTTCCTCCCCGGTGGACAGGTGCTGACAAACACACCCAAGCTTCCCTTCTTGCCTGTTGCCTGTTTCTGTACTGCCTAAAAGCTAAGGGTGGCATTACATATTTTAGTATTCAAAACTTTAAAAAAAAAAAAGGAAATTATGCAGAGTTGAGTATTTGGGATGGGGATTTATGCACCTGACTATGTTAAATATTTTCTGTCTGGTTCTTCACAGAAAATTTTATTGGTCTGTGGGAATTCATCAAAGCTTGTTGTGTGTCCCTTACCTGAACATCAGTTGATATGTTCCCTCTCTGTAGTAACACATAACCTAGATATGCATGAAAGCATAATTAATGTTTTATTTCACTTTGCCCTTTACATTTTTCATTTTTAAATCAAGTGGTTCTTAATAAAGGTGAACAATTATGTATTTACCATTTACGCAATTCTACAAGGAAGCTCTAAATTATTTTCTAACAGCCTGATATATTTCATGCATTTTTTTTTAAAGTTATGTATTTCAAAGGCAGACAAAGAGCTACACACACACACACATACACAAACACACACAGTGAGAGAGAGAGAGAGAGAGAGAGAGAGAGAAAGAGAGAGAGAGGTCGTCTGTCTGCTGCTTTCTTGCCCAAGTGCCCGTCAGGCTTATGTTGGGCCAGGCTGAATCAGGAGTCAGCAACTCCCTGTCAGCAACATAGGAGTTTCTTTTTCTCCTGCTTTTCCACACGGTATTTTTTCCAATGACACTCGATTTTTCAAGTACTCAATTTTCAAAAAATTGAAATCAGAACAAGGGAAGAATAGTTGCATGGGATGACATAAGCTGCTGTTGTGCCGGACTTTAAAATCCCCAGAAAATCATCAAGTCTGAAGTCGGTGCTAAAGCATAAAGGTGGTTTATTCGGGTTAGCCTAGGTCTCCCAGCCACCTCCCCCAGCGCAACAGGGCTGGAAGGGGAGGGGCAGCCGAGGCTGCTGCAGGATCCGCAGGGAGGACAAAAGAGAGGGAGAGAGAGCGAGCCCGGATTGAACAGCACAGAGTTCTTATAAATTTTAGGCTATTAATTATACAGTCATGATTTAGCAGGCTTCTATTGGTGGATTTGAAGCGAGCAACTTTCAAAAAGTACAAATTGATGAGCTATAGGGCAGTGGATCTGATCAAACACCAGGTACCTCCTTCCTGAGGAGTGGTCTGCCTACGTGACCTGCCAGGTGTCTTGTAGACTATCAGGCCTGGAGTTCACATAGTCCCCAGCCAAGCAATTAAGGCAGAATCACAAAAGCAGAAAACATCTAGGTTCTTCACTGCCATTCAGGTGTGTGAGTTAATCTAAATAGCGTGTTAATCTAAATAGCTTTTCAGACATGCTTTATTCTCATTTTATTCATGCCTTAAAATATGAATTACTCATATTGCTGATTCAATGATGGAATCATTCAAGCTGTCAAGCCACTATAAATATCCTAAAATGTAATATAGTGTTCATCTCAAAAAGGAAATAAATAGAAAAATTTTCAAAGTGACATAAAGATAGATCCTGGAGCTTGGTACATACTGAGTGCAAAAGAGGTAATTATGTAGTGATATTTGTTATGAATATAGGCTCCTGGAGTCCAACTGACTTGAGTGTGAATCCACCTATGTCCTTTACAGGTGTGTGGTTAGTGGTAAATTCCTCAAGCTTTCTAACCCTAGGATATTTCATTTGTGGATTGGGATTAATAAAAGAAATTATGTGCTGTTAAATGGTTAACTGTGTACCATTGATGCTAATTCATGAGATAAATGTTTTGTCTGTGTTGCTAGCTATTAGCATTGTGATTTTATTAGGAAGATACACCTGAATGGCCATGTAAAAATGACATTGAGTTGTGCTATTAGTGATGCTTGTTCTGAGAGACTGAGAGTGACCTGCTCTTGTTTTGGCCATAGGCTCCAGTGTTGGCCTGTTCGTCTATGCAGCTCTTCAGAGGATGCTGATAGAGCTGTACGGACTGGATGGATGTCTGTTGATCGTGGGCGCGTTAGCCCTAAATATATTGGCCTGTGGCAGTCTGATGAGACCCCTCCAACCCTCGGATGGTCCATTGGCAGAAAACGGAGCTCTGGGAAATATCCCAGATAGATACTCCATTTACAGTGAGAAAGAAAAGAACCCAGAAGAAAACGCAAACATCCTCGAGAAGAGCTCTAGTTGCGAGGAAAAGGGCAAGAGCCCCCTGGTCCCTGGGGGCTGCCAGCAGGAGAGTCTGCTTCACAAAGCACCCAGCACGATGACATGCACAAAAGAGCCCGAGACGTACAGAAAGAAAGTTGCCGAACAGACTTATCTTTGCAAACAGATTGCCAAGAGGAAGTGGCAATTATATAAAAACTACTGTGGAGAAACTGTGGTTCTTTTTAAAAACAGGGTCTTTTCAGCGCTCTTCATCGCCATCCTGCTTTTTGACATTGGGGGGTTCCCACCTTCCCTGCTCATGGAAGATGTAGCAAGAAGCTCAAAGATAGAAGAAGAGGAGTCCTTCATGCCTCTGATTTCCATTATAGGCATAATGACGGCAGTTGGCAAACTCCTTTTAGGAATACTGGCTGACTTCAAGTGGATTAACACTTTATATCTGTATGTAGTTACCTTAATAATCATGGGCCTGGCCTTGTGTGCAATTCCGTTTGCCAAAAGTTACATCACTTTGGCAATCCTTTCTGGAATCTTAGGATTTCTTACTGGTAATTGGTCCATCTTCCCTTATGTGACCACAAAGACTGTGGGAATTGAAAAATTAACCCATGCCTATGGAATTTTAATGTTCTTTGCTGGACTCGGAAACAGCCTTGGGCCACCAATTGTTGGTAAGATATCTACCTTAACATCAACCTGTGTGATGGTTCTTTATTGTAGCAGCTCCAGATATTGAAATTGATGGTGATGACTGCCTAGATTTGAGGAAGTAAATTTGTGTAGAATGTCTTCTGGCAAGGATTTATTCAAGATTGCTTCCATAGGGTTGAGGATGGGAGAATTCCTGCTCTAGAATCAGTCCCCATTCTTTGTTGGGGAGAAACTTTAAATGCCTGTTTATTCTTGTCCACATAGCGGCAGGTTCTCCTTTTTTAGCTTCTCCCAAGTCATGTTAGAAGCAGGCACGGTACCCTATGTCCTCATCCTAACTGTAGAAGAAACAGATCAAGCGGAGGGAGGGGCTTGAGACGTAGCCGGTGTCTGCAATGATCATGTCCTCTCACTGTCTTTCCAGGTTGGTTTTATGACTGGACCGAGACCTATGACCTCGCCTTTTACTTCAGTGGCCTCTGTGTGCTGCTAGGAGGGCTGATTCTGCTGCTGGCAGCCTTGCCCCCTTGGGATCCATGCAAGAGATCACTCCCCAAGCCAGCTCCAGCCACGTTTCTATACAGAGTTGCCTCTAATGTTTAAAGGACTATTACAAGGAATTATTTTTGCCACTTTATACCTTACAGCAAAATATATATATATATATATACAGACATATATATATATATATTTTTTTTTTTTAAAAACTAATTCCCAAGCAGGTTTCTGTAGAGTCAAGACTGTTTTATCAGAGCAGATTTCTCTGTGGCTGACTCTGAATACCTTGTTAACATATCCTATTCTTTACGTACTGTATGTACTATATATTTTATGTATATTTCCTTCACCCTCCAAGAAATTGGACTGTTCTGTTTTACCATTATTCATTAGTTTTTAACATTGTAAAAATTATTGGGCCTCTCACCTCACCTCAGAAGGCTTTCCCTGTGTTAAGAAGTGTTACTTCTTTACCAGCTCCATTAGTTGCACTGCAGGACACCCAAAGAGTTCTCTCCTATTTGAAAGCTGATGAAAGCCACGTGATGTGCATGGGTGAAGGCAGTGGGGATGAAATCACTCTTGTCTGTGTTACACTAGCTGGGGGGCAGGAGACTTCCAGCCAACCAGGAAATGAAAGTGGTTACTAAAGCCGCATGAAGACTTGTAGTGGAGTAACAATTTTCTTTCTTTCTTTTTTTTAAGATCTCTTAAATGAATCACTAGTTTTTACTTTTCTAATGCTTTTATCTTGATGAAGCACCCATGTGTCATTGGTGCCATCCTAGCACAAACCATGTCACTTCCCAAGCTGTTTGTTGAGATGCAGGCAGACTCCAAACAGAGGAGTGGGCCCAGGAGGTTTTCTCTTGCCACGGTCTCACTCACTTGCATGTCAGCATCCACTTGATTGATGTCTCAGGAGGTGATGATTTTACCTGTTTCCAAATTGGAAATGCATTTTTCAACCATTCCATTCTGGCAAATGGGAGATATCCATTTGTTTAGGGCACAGTGGAGATGGATTGCAAGTCCTGTGAGTCTCCCTTATGAAACATTCATTTGCTACTATCTGATTTTGCCATTATCAATCAAAATTTAACTCAAGTGCAGAAGTTAATGAGTGTGTGTGTGTGTATGTGTGTGTGTGTGTGTGTGTGTGTGTGTGTGTGTGTGTGTGTGTGTGCTGAGTCTGAGTTTTAAATGGGAAGGAAAAAAATTGCTGTAAGAAATTGATGCCCTTATCCAGTTTCATTTCACCTTAAGATTGTTCTAGGAAGGAAATCAGTATATAATATACTGACATTTTTTACCCTCAAGAAATGGATGTTAAACTTTCATAGACATAGGATTCCCTATAGACTCATTTGAAAATACAAGTGCCTGGGTACCACACTTAGGAACTTCAGTACTGTAGTCTTGGCTCTGACCCAAGCACCTGTAGTTTTAATGAGCTCTTGTGATGACATAACCTGGCTTGAGGATGGCTGCTGTAAGATTGGCAATTGAGAAGCATTTGTTATCTTAAATAAGACTAAGGATAAACTAAAGTATGAGGTCAGAGGTTTTGATGTATGAATAGCCACATGTTCTTTACCTAGGAGGCATCCTCCCCATTGTGCCAAAAATGTCTTTTCACTTTTTTGAAATACCTACCATTATTTTATACTTCTGTATTGCCTTTCTTGGAAGGCGCCTGAAGCACTTTATTAGCACGAATCCTCACGACACCTCTGTGAGGTCGGTAAATAGAACTTTTCTATGTGTTAAACCTGGAGTATGATCAATTTCATAACTGAGTTACTCCTGCTCAATAATGCAATAATGGGGACTCTAAGGCACCTTAGACTTCCGCTTCACACTCAGACTTCTGGAAAGTTTACTGTACCTCATTCTTTACTCACTGTCAAGGTTAGTAAGTAAAATATATGACATTTAAAAAATAGACTTTATGTCTTTGTGTTGAAATTTCCTGTTTGCCAATGTTATGGAATTCCAGAAACTCAAGAAGTTGACTTTTATGACATTTACACATTCATCAATGTTGGCAATTATTCAAATGCCTCTTCACTGTGTCTACTAATGTCATCCGGTGCGTGTATATCCATAGAGTAAGAAATGAATTTTAAGTTACAATAAAATGTTTTTGTGTGTTTTGCATACATTTGGCTGCTTTTCTCTTAAATTCCCCTCCCGATTATAAGGATGCTTCACTTGAATGTCAAAAGTCCCAATTTCCTGTTGTAATTTGGACCCCAGAATTTGGTGATTGAACAAGAACATATTCGAAATCCTTTTGCTTTCCTAGTTTGACTTATTGCATTTAACAACCTCATGCTTTAGACCTGCACTCTCTGGGTGCCAGAAGACATGGATTTGGGGGAGGCTTTTACATCATTGTTGTTAAACTCCCCTAAAGCATGCTTTCTGCCCTGGTTGTGACAGCTTGCTGAGCCTCTGTCTGGGATGGCTTTGTGGTTCTCAGTGGGGGCCCTTGTGAGCATTGTTGCCATCGTGAGATCGTTGTACATCAACAGCACCACCTCTTCCTTCACGCTGTGAACCAGGGACTTCCGCAAGTTCCTGGAAAGCCACGTGCTTTGTTTTCTTTGTTGTTCCCGTGACCCGTGTTGCCAAGGTTTGGCCCTTGAATCACTGCACCCTATTGTCTATACCTCTGGATTACACTTAGTGTAGATGTTAGTCTGTCCGGTGCTGGATGACCGGCTAGGCCTGTTTGGTTTTATGATATCCAGCTTCTGTTGGCATTTGAGGGCAGAAGATGCTGAGTAGGAGATTGGCCACCTCTGTAAGCAGTGCTGTGGAAGAGATCTACTCTGTGGTGGTCCCTAGCCACTTGCGGATTCTATACGTACTCCAAGTTCATATTGCTTATTTTTTAAATCAACCCTTTGAGGTGGAGATTGTGACCCTCATTTTATAATAAAAATTATCGTTCATAATGATAAGGAGAACGTGATCAAAGTGTTAGTGATTTCCAAAAACAAAATGGGAAAAGTTTCTTCAGAATGAAAATAAATCCTTTGGTGTTCAATATGGCCAGAAAGCGGGACCTAGCCAAGACATTTGCTATAAAGTCACTCTTCAGTAATAGAGATGTTCTGTTATGTAAATAATTACTCCTTACTTGCTCATGTTCCAAGATTAGCATTTTTAAAATACTTCGGAGCCCTGTTTAACCTAGTGGTTGATATGTTTCACAGCCGACATCCTACAGTTTGGAGTACCTGTTTGATTCCCAACCCCAAGTCCTGAGAAGGCTATACTAATGACTCAAGCACTTGACTTCTGCCAATCACATGGGACACCTGGCCTGAACTCCCAGCTCGGGCCTTTGGCCTGACCCAGTCCTGGCCATTACTGATCCTGTACATGTAGTCTCTCTCTCTCTCTCTCTCTCTCTCTCTCTCTCTCTCTTTCCCGTGTGTGTGTCTGTGAGTCTGTCTATCTCAATCTCCCTCCCTCTCAAGAAGAAATGAAAACCCTACTAAAAACATTTTGATGAGAATATAATGCTGCTTTTCTGTCTTGAATCCTAGACATGAAGAGTTAACTATGGCTGTGCTCAGGAGAGATGAGAAGCCGGCAGTTTATTCTTGTTTAGCAGGTCCTCATTCCTTGTTTAGGTCTCCTTGCGGTCTAATGAACCTTCAAGGAGCCAGGCAGGTCTGATTTTCTCTGGAGCAATTATGTTAGCAGAGGAGGAGCTTCAGCCACCAACTTTGAAGGGGGCCCGTGGAGATTAATTCTTGAGAACTGGGAGATGCAGCACTTGGAGGTCATGACTGAATGGTATGTTCTGGCCCACAAGTCCCATGGCCTTAAATAGCCTCAACTGCTGCCAATCTGTATAGCATTTCCCATAATCAGATGTTCCAGGAAATCAGGGAAGCCACCATAGAAGGAAAGAATGTTTTATGTTTACTTTTAATTAGGAGTATTCTACTGATCACATAGAATATACAATTTACTTTGCAGTGTTACAGTTTCTCCTCCATTTACAACAATCTTGAGACATAGGTGCAATATGTGTCATTTGTGTCTGAAGGAAGCCAAGGAGAGAGATCTCTGAGTGAGAGGTTTAACCTCAGCCAGTTAAAATGGTCAAAGATCTGTAAATACACGGGTGCTATTTGTATAGGCTCGTTAGGGAGTGATTCCACAGCCAGATTGCTTGGTCGAAATTCCAGCTCAGCCCCCCAGCCTGAACGAGTATGGCCATGTTACTGAGCCTCTCGGAGCCTCACTTTGCTCATTTAGAAAACACATCGTATAGTTGTTCTGAGAACTGAACGGATATATTTCCAATAGATATGCACTATTATTATTCTTGTGGCTGTTATTCTGAAGTACGTGGCTTCATAGTACCTGGGGGAGGGAGCAAGTGTTCCTAGGTACAGAATAGGGAAAGTGTTTGCATTAAATGAGTTCATTTAGAAGACAAGTAATGAGCCTTCTGTCACCTTTAACTTGTACGATCCTCGCTGCCCTTGCCATCCCCTGAGTGTCAAAATCCTTTATCCTAAGGGATTCAAGAGTCAACACATTTTTCAGAAATTGCCATTTGGGAGCTCTGACACAAAACAAACACATCGCTCCTCTACAAATCAAGTAAAAGCCACTTTGTAAATTATTTTAGGAAATTGAACTTTTTTTTTCCTTAAAGAACTTGGAAGGTGGGCCTGAAGCGAAGCAAACCCGGGATAACCAGACTTGTTTACCAAGCATTAATTGGCTTCAGCTCAGAGCCCTGACCTCACTGCTTCCCCATGTGCCAGAAAGGTTTGCTCTTGAGGGCGGGCAGGCCAGGGCACCTGCGATTTTCTGTTCCTAGATCTGAGCTGCGTTAGCTGCACTTCACTACATGCATTCCTTACCTAAAGAATCACTTTTTTTTCTTTTGAAAAGAAAAATGCAGGGTTCATTTCATCTTTTTCCTGAGGTGGTAGTCTAATAAAACCTTTGGTAAGGACATGAAGAATTAGCTGGGGTCAAGATGCTGCCCTGCAGTAGAGCATCTGAAAACTCCCTGGCCACAACATATGCCTATGTCTTCCTTCTGGAAAGTTCCTAATGTGATGAAGCAAGCCAGC